CTTTCACCAGCAGCTTCGCAGTCCTTCCTCCCACAGATTGACAAGTACTTTCTTTCTAAAGTACCGGAATACTTTCGCTAGCGGCAGTCAGTAAACAGTTGCTGAGATTACCATACGACATGAGAAAATGCCCTTCCATCGTCTGATTGGATGCCACAGAATTTTCCCTTGATGTCTGGATTTTTCTGTAACGATACCATATAAACCATGGCATCGTTTTGTCAAGAATACACGGTACTATCGTTAAGACCACCGCGAACATGGTCGAACAGACAGGTCCTTTCCAGAGGCCTTTGGACCGTCTTACGATGTGCTTCCAACGGTCACTCTGAGTATGTAATCCAACTGTAGTTGTAATTTCTTCCATCTACTCTCGTCCCGTTGCTCAATTGTTAGACGCTGTGGGCCTTGCCATGTCGCATTTTTCGAGCATCAGTTTCACTTTAGGATCGTCGCAGTTGCCAGGCTGAATCTTTCATCGTGGTTAAGGAGCATCAATCCATTTTTGTGGTCATTTTTTTCAGGCAGGAACCATTTCCCCAGTGCAACACCGTTCACCGCTACCGGCGTTTGTTTGAAGGATTGCAGTGTCGTTCTACGGTATGACACCAAGCAACTGTTCAGACCTATCGTAGAAAGTGCTCTATCTTTGTTCGGCGCATTATAATCCATGCTGTGCTGAACGATTTAAAGATCGTTATCCAGCATAATCTTGTTCCAATTGGCCTTCTGTATTTAACTTCTTCCTTAGTCGCAGCAAGTTTTGCGGTAGCCCTGAAAAGGACCTTTAAGTTTGGACAGATAGATGGCTTGCAGTGACAATATTTGCGCGTCTGGAAATACAGTAAGTAGCTGGTGTCCGGTCATCTGCCGTAGGAGTGTGCTGATATCTGATCTTTGGCATCATGATTTGATATTTATCTCACAATATGTATTCAGGAGGTACCACATTAAGACTATCAGAGTCATACACCCAACCTCCCAACACTATTCATTGTCCATTTTATCTTACGTCGTTGAATCATGATTTCTTATTTGTAATGAGCGATTGTTCTAAGGTAAAAATTCTCGGCACGTCCCCGGAATTCATCGACACGGCGGAAAACCGTTACAAATTCAGTCGTATGTTGGACGACATGAATTCACAGAAGCCTGAAATTGAGCACATTCTACAGCCACAGTGGAAACAGTTGACAACTGTCGAGTCAGCACGAAGGTTCTGCGAGACCGTTGGCTATCCATGCTTGGTTCGTCCGTCGTACGTGCTGAGTGGAGCGGCGATGAACGTTGCGCATTCGTCACCAGACCTCGAGTCGTACCTTTTGCAAGCCTCCGTCGTGTCGCGCAATTATCCGGTTGTCATTTCGAAGTTCATCTTAGAAGCGAAGGTATTCCCGTATGCGCATTTTGCGTCTTACATATTCCGCGATCTGTTTTCTGTACTTCTGTCGTCCCTTTGATATTTTTGTTTGCCTTTCACGTTGATTAGGTTTCATTCCAGAACGGCAAGATCGAATTTTTAATGTTAAATCAAGAAAGGGTTTTTATAAATTTTCATCAACTGCTTGTCATGTCCTACAACATATACTGTTCATCGCAACTTTGATTCATTGGCCTTCAGCGTTGCTTTGGTGCCTTCGGTTTGTGCAGTTTTGTACTCTTCTTTTCTTATTCATTCATGTGATGCGTAATATAATGCTTTCCATATATCGCTGCGCAAACTATGCTGCGCTGATGTTTGGCACAGTCATATCACCTCGGGTTTAAATCTGTATAATCCGAAGAAGTCCGCCTGCATCACGATCTGATGAACAGTCTCAGAATATTTATTAGTCTAGAAAGACTTTATTCATTGCCTCAATCTTTGATGTTGCTGATGATGTCCATATATGTCTTCTCTATATCTTGCTGTGTGAAGGTGCTCATAGCAGCTGCTGTATCTGTGTAGTGGAACTCTGTCCATAGTTGATCGTCCTCACGCAAGCTTCCAGAAGGGCTCGCAGTTCTGAATCATCAATATTGCTATATTAAAGCAACCTTTCAGGCGTGCTTACTAGACTGGATGCACAAATGTAGTTACTCTTATAGCCTGCTAACAAGCATCTTTGCGAAAATCTTCTAAGCAGTAGAAAGCAGGTTAACGGATGGGTGATTTTTAAGTTTTGCTTTGTTGACTTTCTGAACTTGATGAGTTGATCCACTCTTAAGATAGGTTCGATTCATCGAGGCGCTTATTGAATATGTGAGCTAATGATTTTTCACTTCACTACCAAAATGGTTCTGCACGCCTGCTGTTGTGTCATATTTATATCATAACTAGAGATGTACGACGCTAACATCTTCTCCTTGAATGGTCAGGCTATTTGGATTTTAAAACATTATTTCGGCCATAGGAAATCGATGTCGATGCAGTCGCATCCGATGGTGCAGTGGTTGCCTTCGCCATCTCAGAACATGTCGAGAACGCTGGTGTGCATTCAGGCGACGCGACACTTGTCACACCGCCACAGGATCTGACTGCAAAGACGATCGCCGAAATTAAGTACGTTGTCACCCAAATTGCCAAGGTGTTGTGCATCAATGGACCGTTCAACATGCAGTTGATCGCCAAGGTTAGCGTATTCTTCCTACGATGTTGTGTTACGAGCGGTTATTACCGGGTTGCGTGCGTTTCTAGGAAGACAAGCTGCAGGTGATCGAGTGCAACCTTCGCGCCTCCCGCTCGTTTCCTTTCGTTTCGAAGGCTTTGGACTACGACTTCATTGCAGTAGCGACGCGAGTGTTGCTGCGGACGCCTATGACTGCACCTGCCACCCTCATGGTCGGCATCGGAAAAGTGGCCGTTAAGGTAATCGCACAGTATTCGATTGTTTATGTTTATAAAAGCTTTTAAAATAAACGTAAGATAAGTTACGTTCGAAATATATCCAGCTATTAATTAATTTATTTGTATTAAAGGATCATTTTCACATTTTCAAGCCATCGCAGTTATGATTTCTTGATATAAAAAAGAAGCGGCTTCAGATCTTGTCGAGTTTCATTACACTGGCATTCTTTCGAATCACTCTCATTAAATACCACTTGTATCCAGGATCGTACTCTTGGTTTTTTGTCAATATAC